CCAAAATCTTGAGGCTCACAAGTACCCCAGGAGTAACTTGGCTCTCCAATGCTGAGCAGGTCTTGGCCCTGGTGCAGAGTTCTGGTGTTGTTTCCTGCATTCCCACATTGCTGTTTTCCACACATGGATCAGGCTTCAAACTTCCTGTGTCTGGAGAGAGAGAGAGAGAGAGAGAGAGAGAGAGAGAGAGAGAGAGAGTCTGTACACGTGTCCTTTGGTTCTTGTCCTGTTCAAACAAGGCTGTTCTTTTCTGGTCAGCTGGAATCTACATGTTCAGGACTGGGGTGTCCAGAAATCAGTTGGAACCTGAGCTTTACGTAGCTGCCCTAGAGAAGGAAGATTTTCAGCATTTTTCTCATTTGTCTTAGGCTGTTTTCCAGGGGTTGAGGAGGAAAGGGAGCAGAACTGTGTAGGATTTATTTGCCATAGTGTATGTGCTTGTTTCTGCTTTTGTTCCTAAGTGCATTTAAATGATTTAGTCGTTCACAAGGCAATTAGAGGAAGATGTACTCATTTCACACTCCCAGTTACTTGGTGGGTGGAGGAGAATGTCACTCAAAGCAAAGCACTCTGGTTCTGGGATACTTCCTTTAAGAATATGGCAGCGTTGAAGACTAGACTCTATTCCTCACTCTACTTTCTGCTTCTCCTGTAGGTCAGTCAAAACTCTAGTTATGAAAGACAGACTTTTTATTAAGACATTCATGAGGTGACAAAACTTTAAAAGTGAAATGTTCCATGAGGTACATATGACTTTTAATTTATCTTCACAAGATGGAGCTGTGCTCCAGGTGCCCCCTTTACAGGCTTCCCATCTTCTACACTTGGTAGCATACATCATTGTATTGATTTTTAAGGACATGTAAAAATGAAGACATTGGCCAGGTGTTGGTGGTGCATGCCTTTAATTCCAGCACTCGGGAGGCAGAGGCAGGAGGATCTCTGTGAGTTCAAGGCCAGCCTGGTCTCCAGAGCAAGTGCCAGGATAGGTTCCAAAGCTACACAGAGAAACCCTGTTTCAGAAAACCAAAAAAGAAAAAGAAAAAGAAAAATGAAGACATTGTGCAGGCATCTCCACTGTCTATTCCCAAACTTCTTCATGCTTCTAAGTGGAAACTCTTCCTACGAAGCAATATCTTCTCCCCACTATTTGTTTTCCCTATGAGTTTGCAGCCTGTAGGTCCTCATATAAGTAGAATCACACAATTGCCCTTTTGTGGCTGGTTAACTTCATTTCACATAGTATTTCCATGGATGATATTTATTTTTGATGGGCTCTTTTTCATTTCAGCACAGAGTTTCTTAACTAAAGGAGGAATTTCATTTTATGAAAAAGGTCAAACAGGGTACACAGCATGGAATGAAGACTGTTTAGTTCTCAGATGAAAATGTCCTTGTTTTTTTTTTTTTTTTCATATAGTAAGACCCTTTTTAATGCGCAATTCGTGAGTAACCCAGTGTCTTTACACAGGTGTTTTACAGCTAGTGGCTAATTCTCCTGGTATCCCCTAGAGGGCTTTCCATGCTTTATAGGCAAGTCTTGAAGACATGGATTAGTTAAATGTGTGTGGCATAGTTTGCTGTATAAACTCACTCTCTGAAACTTGGTTTTCACTCCCTGCTGTTAACTTCCACAGCTTTTACCCATCAATACTGCTCATTTAGCACTTAGCATACACTTGTTAGTTGTCTTTTTATGTTTATCTACAGGAAGGCAGGAGCCAAGTCTCATAGCTTTTTGTTTTTTAAGTCCTGTCCATAATAGCACTTCAATCTATGTCTGTTGATATTGCCCTCTTCTTCCCTTTTAACTAGAGCAGGCAACTCAGAGCTTTTTCAATTCAAACTTGGTTTAAACAATTTTTTTTCAGGGTAAAACACAGAGGAAGTCTTGCATGGTGGGAGAGCAGGGCCGCCTAAGACCTTCAGACACTTGGAAGACCCCCCCGGGCGGGGGGGGGGAGAAACAGAGTTACCTGAAAACCTGTTGTTTGCCACAGGCTAAGTCATAAATGTCTCACACGTTGCCTGATTCAAACTTCAACTTGTCGGCCAGTCCAACAAGTCCATCCAAGGTGAACACTTACAGGCTCCAATAGCTGTGGGGAAGGCATTTTGGAAGAGTTTTAGAAGGCAACTTCAAGAGTAGGAGCAAGCACAACACACTGAATCTCTGGGCTTTTGCTACTGCAATTTATTTTTCTGTGGTAACACAAGATTGGAAACTGCCTTCGAAGTAAGAAAGTGAGTGACAGGGTTTTGCTGAGTTAAGAACAAAGTGGAGGTAAAGGTGGTTTCCCTGCTATGGAAGGACGTTTAAGAGATGTCACTGAATAAACAAATCCAAGGTATGCTGTGAGAGCTGACCCTACCTGTAAGAGAGCAAAAGAACTCACCCCTAGACACTTTCCTTATTGTTTTAATTTCATCTTTCTTTGTGCACATTTTACCTTTCCCATTTTAACAGCATTGTTGAGCACCGACTTTCCTTTTGTGCTTATGACCAGTAGCAATCTCTCAGGATAGCCACATCACTTTTCGTTTCTGTGTCCATGCTTCTAAATACAGAACAACGCTGCCTCTTAAACTAGACGTTTCTATGTTTTAGACATTCAAAAACTGGCACCTTCCCCATGAACAAGAATCACCCAAGTAACCTCTCTTCACACACAGAGTGAATCCTACTCAGAATCCATTTTGCCACGATGCCAGCCTCTGAATCAGCAGCTCCTAGCAGAACACACTGTAACACTCTGCAGCAAGCCACCCACCTGCTACCTTTCATATACCAAGAGGGATATTTGGAGACCCTATTTGTCATGACACAGTGCTTCTTTTGAGCATACCTTCTTTGGGCTGCCTTAACTCATGACACCTCCCAAGGCTCCCATTGGGTTGGCTGGAATTGGATGTCCCTCTTTCATTGGCATGACTTCATTATAACAGCTCTGAATGGATGGTGGCCTTTATACTTTTACTTGTTTCCAACTCAAATGCTTACTAAGAAGTACAGATCTATAGAGAATGGTGGTTTCCATGGAAAATCTTTCCTCATGTCTGTTTGTCAAGTTCACTTTGGTGATACCCAGCATGATTTCCTCTTTCAGCATTAGTACCACAATAGCTCTAGGTCGTGGTGAAACTGCAAAACTGTTTGCAAAAGAAATCTCAGCTACCCTGGTTAGAAGATGGGTAAGTTATTATTCTAACTGCTGGAAGCCAACTTCATATCCACCCTCAAAACTATAGGAAAAGAGTTGGCTTTTCAAAATAAACCACAGCACTTACACAAGCCTGTATAGAAATGCTTGAAACAGATGAGTTATAGCTCCAGCATGTGTGTCGTGTAAGTGTGGAGTGGTTCAGAGAGTTTTCACATACATTTCATTTTATTTTAACATCTGTCCCACTAAGAACCCAGCACATGCCTTACAGCATTTTCTTACAGATAAGAAATGTTAAAGTCCGTTGAAAGTCACACAGCTAGGTAATGTGTGCCAGAGCCCACAGTGAATTCCTCCTTTAGTTCTACTTCCTTGTTTTTCTGCTCCCACTTTACTGCTTCTTTGTGTTTTCTTTTACCCAGATGTTAAATTGTAGGTTCCAACCCCTCCACGATGCTGTACTCAATTCCCCATGTACTTGAGCAATATGATTTTTTTTCACAGCCAGAAAATGTGAGCACCACACTGACACTCCATGTACTTTTTCTTTCCTGATTTAATGAATTGAGAGGGAAAAATTACGTATTCCCGGAGAGTTGTACAGTGCTTTAAATATAAAGTTATATCCCAGTTGGCAAACACACTGTCGCACCCTTTCACAAGACTGAGAAGTCAACCGTCTCATCTATCCATTCTAAGCAGAGGCTCGGGAAGCACAGAGAGCTAGACAATGGTCTCTTGTTTGGTTTTATTAATTTTGAGGGCGGGTGCGATCAAAGTATCGGACTGGCGACTGAAAGGACCAATCGTAGGTCAATAGCAGGCATAGGCAGGGGAAGGTGGAAGAAGGTTGAGGCTGGGGGTGGGGTGGTTGGGGGTGGGGATAGGGTGGTGGAAGAGTGGGATCTTGCTGACTTTGCACTGAGTAGGCTGCCAGTTGGTCAAAGGAAACAAGGTCCGCGGGGGGTTTGAAGGAGAGGGGCTCCTTCCTGAATTTTGTGAAGTTGGTTTTCTCTGATGCTGCTTTTTCTACATTGCTACATTTTTTTCTTCCTCCAGGGAGGAAGTGGAAGCTGTGCTGACTTCTCCCACGCTACTCTGCTGCGCTGTTGCCGTAGATTATTAAAGTCTTTGAAAATAAAAACACCCCCCCCCAAAAAAAAACATTCGTGCCTCTCTTTTTCTCGCTTTAATTCCTGCAAAGCACTATCGGAACTACCGTCCAGCGCGTGGGAGGAGGAGGGCCAGCGAGTTATCCCAGCTCTCTCCTTGATTCCCAAGCTTAGCCGATCAATTGTTTAAAAGTTCCCCGCCCAAAGTCCGCCTCTCCTCCTGGGGCGCCGCCTCCTCCCCTTTGCCCGCCAGGGTCCTGCTGGCCTCCCTCCCGCCTCCCGCCCTGCTGGCCCCGCCCTCGGCCCTGCCCATTCCATCTTCCACCCCCCTCCTTCTGGGCGGTCCTAGCTGCTCACCGCCAGAAGAAAAGGCACCCGTTCCTCCCCCTCTTCTACCTCCCATCCTTCGCTCAGGAGCTGCCTTCATCGCAGTCACGCCCCTTCCTTCCGAGGAGCTTTCGGGCTGCGTTCGCTGGTAGACCCCTGAGTTACTCCTCCATCTCCATTCTCTTTCCTCTCTTCTCTTAGTTCTCATCATCTTCCCCCACCACCACCACCTCCAGCCG